GCATGACCTCGCCGCCCTGTCCGAACGAAGCTCTCGCCTCTGCTCGCGCGCTCTTCAGCTGCTGCAGGAATTCGGTCTCCTGCATCACGATACGCATGCCCTTGCCCCCGCCTCCTTTCACGCTCTTCAGGAGGACCGGGAACTCGATCTGCTTCGCGTGATTCAGCAGCTCCGTCTCACCCTGTTCGCTGCCGTGGTACCCGGGCACACATGGCACGCCCGCTTTGGTCATGATTTCTTTACTACGCGCTTTATCGCCCATGTCCGCCATGGCCTGGGCAGGCGGACCGACGAAGACGATGCCCTCTTGTTCGCACTGCCTGGCAAACGCAGAGTTCTCCGATAGAAATCCATAGCCTGGATGTAATGCCTGGATGCCGTACTGCTTAGCTAATTTCACTATCCTTTCGCCATCCAAATAGCCGTTAGCCGCGCCGAGACCAATAGAATTCGGTGAGCAAAAAGCATGTTGTGAGGAGGCATCCGGGTCAGTGTATAATGTTGTTGTCTTGATACCGAGACGATTTGCCGTTTTGTTTACCCTGAGGGCGATCTCGCCGCGATTTGCTATTAGTAGAGACGTTATGGGTGTTATATGCGGTTGTGATGATGTACCGGTTGAGACGTAGCGGGGAACTACACGGCGACGAAGATGTCTAGGTTTGATTGAACGCATATTGAAAGCGATCAAAGAAATTTATTAACTCAATTGGTATTATAGCGCGAGTAAGTAGGATATTCTACATGGTAATCTATAAGAAGAAACAGGAACAGAAGGGAGAACAACCTGAGACTGTCGATTATCTCATTCCATTGTGTTGAATTGACCGAAGCCGTAGCTAAGCGGGCCTATCCCCGCGAAGAGCCGCGGCACCACGGCCCAGGACGAAGATCAAGTGGCCCAAGCTCCAGCTTCAACGGGGCTGCGGGGCCGACCGGGGAACCAATCCAACGTCATACGTATTTAATTAGGTAATCAGTACATACATGTAGCTTTTGTAGCTTGACGCTCGAAAAATATCACCAAATCAAACGTCACACGACTTTTAGCCTCAAAATTCCGATGGACCAGATACCGCTCAATTTCGAGGCTTCGGCCGGCGAGACCCACAAGCAATCGGTTTCCTCACTTCCTCCGGAGGTAGTGCAATGTCTCGAGAACGCCCGCTTCGTAAGCCTCCGTTAATGCGCGTTTGTCTACCCCGCTAATGGGCGCTGGTCCGGAATAGCTCCATCTCGCCACCTGCGTCGACAACCAACCCCACGTCGCGCTAATGAACTACACCTACATTCCCTCATCCCAGTACTCCTCCGCGCCCGTCATCGTGATGACCACGAACCCCTCCTCCAAGAAGACCAGTAACCTAGTCGTCAACCCCAATGTATCGCTGCTAGTTCATGACTGTAAGATGTGCCGCCCCGGTTCACGAAGTAGTAGTAGTAGTGCTATGTAGAACAGACCAGGTAATAATACTAATCCACCGCCAGGGGTCTCGCACAGACCGCCGACGCAGGGTCGCCGGTCCTCCGGCGGCTCGCCCGGGCCCGAGCACCGATCGAGTCTGGCCTCGCTGCTGCTGAACCTGAACACGAGCGCGATGTCGAGCATCAGCGCGACGATCAACGGGACGGCCGAGCTGGTGGCCCGCGGCTCGGACGAGGAGAAGTACTACCGGGAGCAGCACCTCGAGAACAACACCTTCGACTCGGAGGAGAGCGGCGTCGTGTTCAACCGGCAGCAAGCGCAGTCGGGGGGTCAGGAGGACGGCGGCCGGGGATGCTTCGTCGCGGGCGAGGAGGTCAGGGTTATCCTCGTGCATATCAAGGACGTACGGACGAGCGACTGGAAGGGCGGCGTCAGGGATTGGGTTCTGGAACCTCAGGGTGAGGCCACCACAGTCAATGGCGTGAGATGAGGGTAGATTTTGAATTCGGCGATTAGTTCGGCGCAAGGTTTCTCACAAGGTTGCTCACAAGATATATATGTAGTAATGCCACTCAGTCTAGCTGATTATGGCCCTTCAATATCTCGTCCAACCGCCAATTTTTGCGTTGCCATATTAATACCATTCCTCTAGTATAACCTTGCTTCGACCAACAACTATCTAACAGCAATCACTCTCCTTGACAAGTTGACCTTGTTCAAACTTAGAATAGCTCTCATGAGCTTGTTGACATTATCATTGCTTTCTATGGTAAGTGCAGCGCAGTAGAGATATCAGGGTGGCTTTGGCTGCCAACTATTTCCATTATCTCCCTTACCTATAGATTCGAGCGGTAACTCAGTGTAAAGTCTAGGAATCAGCAATGTCGAGGCATCATCTCATCATCACAACCGCCTTGGCGCAAATACAAACTGCAGGTATGTGCATTTTCATAATACCAATTCCGAAACTGTCTGCATATTCTCGTCAGTCAATCCGCTTTGCTTGCATTAGACATAGCCACACATAGGCAGCCATGTAGGTGCCATTCCAAGTCCATATGCAAATGTGAATTTCTCCCGAATACCAGGTTAATTTATGGAATTCGTGGTTAACATGTGCTAAAGGTGAAGAGCTTAGAAACATTCAATTAGAAGTTAAGATACTGATATATATGGTAATCAAGCAGGGGAGAGCATTCTAATAGACTGTATATATACACGCTCTTAACCCGAAACCGAACTATTAGTTTGTTTTCAGTCCAATGGATTCCAAAATCTGCAGTATTTCCTCTCACATCTTCCACGCCATATCTCCATTGCTACTTGCCGAGGATATATACACCTATTATATGCGTTATTCGTCCTCAAAGTCCTCACCTTCCTCGTCTTCTGCACTAAATGAATAAGGTGATGCATCACTGCGACAAAAATTCGACTCCTAACGACCGGTTGACGGCTCCTGGGCCGATTTTAGCCGTGGAATAGGGTGATCATCTCCCAAGCCCCTCGTCTGTACCGACGCCATGCTTTATCAGCACGTAATGACATGGTTCACAGGTGCTCTAAGGGGCGCGCGTGTGTTGAGAGCATCCTCTTAGCGATATACCTTAGCACCACGTGCTAGCATACACTCCACGATCTCTATGTAGCCGGAACCGCATACATACTCAAGAGGCGTCCCACGATTGCGCCCTGGTATTCCATCGATATCAGCGCCGTAGTTCAGCATCACAAGCCTCCTCGATCTCCTCGAAGGACGTACGCCCTTGCTTAAACACCAAGGTTTTCTTGATGCCGACCTGTGTCATCAAAAAGCTACAGAGCTCGAGCCTGTCTTCTTGCTAGGTATACCTTCACGCGACTAGTCTGCTAGTGGAGAAGGCTGGGATTGCCTATGTAGTTCGAGAATCAGGCCCAAAGCAAGGAAGATTCCTTGAATAGGAAGGGTGATGGTTAGTAAATAAATTCCTCATCTAGGGTGTGACAAGGCACGTTACCTAATCCGAAGCTATCGCACATGGTCAGGATCTACACAGCAGCTCGCCGCTAGGTCAAGCACCAACATATGTGAGAAGTTGCTTAGATATATATGAATCTTTGTCCCTGGGGGATATGAAGTCTGCCTCGCCTAGGAAAGGGGGTTCGCCGCCGCTAATGGGGCTGGTGGCGGCAAGGTGTATTTTGCGGTGTCATCCGCAGTATCAACAGTGGCATCCCAATCCACTAGGATTGGGCGCCGCCCAATAATACGATGACCAAATACTAGATTGTCCGGAAAGTCACCTACTAGACTGTCTTCAACCTGTACCTAACGTAGATGGAAGGCGGCGACACTATTGTTTACAATGCCTATGCAATGAACGCCGGACACCACGGAGTTCCACGGCCCAGCTAGCTGCAGCTACCGTACTTCGAGTTACTTATAGGGAACCAACTAGAGGCGATATTTCACCAAAATGTTGGCGATTTGTACATATTTAACTTGCGGAATATGCACCAGGTTAGGGCAGTGGCGGAGATTGTTACGGTAGCTAATTTCTTTGGCGTACTTCCAACTTAAGAAGCAGGTCAGAAGATAAAGTTGATATTTTGGTCTTGTTACTTGGGGATATCGATTTCTCTAGCGCGGACGCTTTGTGTAGCCTACTTTCCAGCAGAAGCGTGTGTACGATAGTAGAAGGGATAGCTAGGGGTAGACTTAGCTTATTCTAAACGACAAAATGTTCATCTCTCCCGTTTATATATCTAAACCTATCCTAATAGAACCTTTTCTTTAGCATAGATAAAAAAGTATTGGTACATGATCCTACCTAATTCCCTTTTCTTCACCTCAAGTGCCCTAGCAGCTTGAAATATCTTCCTCGTAGCATTATTGATGAACTTGGGCACTTTGACTCCCTCCAACTTGTCGAGTCCCTTTCTAGGCGCTCCTCCTGGTGTTACAACTTTAGATATGATATCCACTGGAGTTTAATTGAATATGATGAGATCAGCTGCATCATAGGCTGCATAGGCTGCTATTCGCAGCTTGCAACTTGCCTCCGTGGGTATATATTATAACAGCTCCATCACCCTGTGCCACCGACCCAATCAAGGCTACAAAGACGGCCATTGTAGACGTATACAGCGAACCACGTTATCTATGAGTGCCTCAGGTAGATATACAACAGCGTCAATGCCCGAAAACTCAGTAGAGCTGCACAAGTAGTTCATGCTCCAGAGCTGATCGCCTTTGCCGGACGAGGTGTCAGGCAACCTATCCAACATGGACTGTCCTAAACGTGCCATCATATTGGGAATACCTAGGTAACCCTTTTTTTTTTTTTTAAGTTCGTCGCTTGCCCACTATTTATACTGCCGTGCACGCAATCCCACAGTTGAAAAGTTGAAATTCCCCCAAGAATACTCATCAAGATTAATTAGCGGTTGAATCCGACCTCCCGCAACCGTGACACGACTGATTATGGACAATTCGGACAGCGAGTAACTAAGAGACAGTATTTACTCTGTCTACCTTTTCCACCTATACTGACCTAAGAAAAAAAAAGACAATCTTATTAATCCCAAGGGAATTTGGATGCACCCGGGATCGAACCGGGGACCGCTCACATGCGAAGCGAGAATCATACCACTAGACCATGCACCCCAATATACTCTGACCAGCAAGATGAATTGGATATATATAAGACTAGTGGTATGTACCAAGGTAGCATGCGAAATAGATGGCCACCTGTCTAGTGACTCTACACATAGGCAAAAGACACTCCTAACTAGCCGGATTTTCATCTTATATCAAGACCTATCCCTACCTAACTACCCAACATTCTTCTTTTCGTGCTGCAGTAAAGGCTTTACGGCAGTATTACAGCGCATACAGAATTAACAGGTATAAAGGAACTAACTACTCCTCGGCTTGCAAACAAGGGAAGACTCCCAACTATATTTTACTAGCCCATAACAGATCAAGGTTAACTGTCGACAAGGCCACTGAGTATTAGTGGATGTAAGCAATCAGTACGTCATAATACGTGCCGCAAAACCACATGGGCATCATGCACCTCGCCAAATAGGGGCAGAGCTAGTACCTACCAACTAGATATAGCTAAGAACATGATACAACCTGTTTTATTCTTGTGGAGTGTGTTTTTGGCTACTTTGGGGTCTATTGTCGTGAGAAGGTAGTTTTTGTGCCCGTTGCGTCCGACCAGAGGTAGAGATAGGCGTCCGAGTCCCCTTAACAACCCCTAGATTATCTCGACGTATTACCAAAATAGACTTTGCCTGGCCAAGGAATATTGGTTTAGACGATTACTCTATCAACTCAAGGTTTTAGTCGATACATCTCTCTACCGTTTTCTAATGCGCAATAAGGTGGGTTAGGTGATGTAATACTCGTGTACATTAGCGTCGAATAAAGGGTCTATTCGTGGTCTAGTTTTTTCTTTGAAGAGGGTTGATAGGTTGAAAGTGTGTCTTGGTTATAAGTCACCTGTCGGTGTTATACTGTCAGTCAACCAACAAGGCAACCCCCAACCGATCCTGTCAGTCTTGGCTGTGCCGCCCCAACTGTCAAGCAACAACATAAGGCTATTTTGCTATGCCGCATGTAAACGATTGGCGTATTGTGGGACGATTTATTTGGTTTCTACTAGACCAGATTGTTTTGATACATCTGAGGAAATTTGCAATAGGTTCACGATAAAGCTGTACTGTCCCTTTCGAATACGTATTATAGATTCAATTGTAGAACTTGCATTAAGCGCCCGTCAAGCTGGTTACAGAAACAAACCCAATCCCCCTGAAAAGAGCTTCGACCAACAGTCAGATGGTTGACTCTACTCATTGGTAACTTCAAATGTATGATAGATACGAAACCAACATTCACTGAACTAGCAATAAATTATTAGAGACTTAGAGTATACTTGAAGGTGACCTTGGGCAAGGGGAGAGCTACAAACCGGTACCGGCTAGCTGGTAACTGAAAAAGTCGTCGGCCCTGAGGGCTGACAACTAAAAAAGCATGCCACTAGTAGCTGAATACGTAGATAAATGCAAAAAAAAAAGTTTGTCTATCGTCAACTCTATGAATACTGTGATACCTAAAAGGAAGATGCAAACTAGAAGACAAGCCTCCGTGTACTATTAATACTTGAGAAAGAATTATGTAATCTCGCCCCTGAACTGGGTATCACACCAAATAACGCCACTTTAGTACCGTTCTGTTGGTCCCGGGAAAACAGTGAGGAGCCTGGGTTGACACTGAAAAGTTCATGCTTAACGAGTAATACTCGATAGGTCGAAAAGGGGTATTCATAGAAGACAAGCGGTGGCCGTCTTTCAGTATATATTAGTTGACTATCCTTCGGTAGAGCACAGCAGACAACAATCACTTCTCGCCCCCTGTTACTTCTTACAATATTATACGGATTGTGCCCGGCTGAATTATTACTATGATAGGCATGGATACCTTATTTTCTCACTAATCTTAAGACGACATCTGCCGTAAAAGACCTGTTGTATATAGAGATAGTTGGGCCATACCGAATAGGCCTGGCAGTTGCTTTATGTATTTACCAGCGCTAGAAGCGATGAATATTAATAAACGCTATTTTCTGTTACTTAATAAACCGGACATTGCAATAGCCTTATGCTCTCTTGAACCTATATAGATATTATTGGTGATATCTTGGTATGTTGCTAGGCCGGCATATGATGCTTCCCTAGTTTGTAGCCGCTGATGGCTCAAGTAATGACTTTTCTTGTCGCGCTAGGAATAAAGAGACAACTATCGTACAGACCGTTGCGAAGGAACCGTATGTAGGGGTTTGAGCTAATACGACTGCGCTGCCATTCCGGCAACGTATCTTGGTGCCGTAACAGATTTCGTAGATGTTGGAGTATTTTGGTTCTTGTTCGCGCCTAGCATTTTCTTTGCTGAAGCTGTACTCTGGGATACATACGTATATGCATGGAATGGCTGAACAGTGCTGTTAGTTAGGGATGCTATTTTCCATGGCAAAAGGCATACGACGCCAACGTTGTATTTTGAAGGTATCGTGGGTACCATAATATTGAGGTAGTCTCAGCCCCAACTACAGTAACAGTACATGTGAAAACCACGAGTTAGATCTAGCTTATATTCACGGAGGGGGGTGATTAAACGCAGCTGTTAGGGTATCTATCTCTACTACCTAAGGGTTGAGAGCTAGACTTAGCTTGTGAGGGCAACGTCAATTGTTCTCGGTGATAGGAGAGCCATAAGCTATCATTAACTACCCTATATTGTATGGTACATTCTGAACCACCGCCTATCATCATTCATAAAGTTACAGGCGATCTAACTCTTCCACGCTGGTTACTTATTCTACGTCCCAATATATCGTAGCACTACATTTGACTTTGCGCTAGGTATAAGTCATATACGTTAGCCGCCAGGAAAACCTTTACGACACGATGACCCGTAAGATGAAGGATGATGGTACTCTGGTAGGATGCGGTATGCATCTACACACCGAGTTAACGCCGTAGCGGACCACAAGATCATCGACAGTAAACCGTATTGGTTCGATGGGGATTGGCGATCAGACGATGAATCTCAGAAAGGAGATATTATGTTCACTAGTAGGGTGTGCGAGTATTCTCAGGGGCCAGACTGCGTCTAGACCCCTCGCCGTCTCCCGCCTCTACCTCCTCCCTTCGTGCCGTTTTCAGTTAAACTTCTACTTTAGGGCAGTACGTGTTGTATAGTATCGTTCGACGGACACTCTCTGCCAGGCTTAATAACGATGGGAATTCGGTGCCACGGGCTAGTGCCGGCTATATGCCGCATTTAGCAGCGCAAGTTGCAGATGTGACCTTGGGGTTCTGGCTCTTACTGGAGAAGAGTAAACAAGCTCGGCTCTGACGTGTTTGTACTACGGAAGTATCCAGGGAATACTGCCGCGTTCGTACATATTGCGGCTGATGTGAGATACCTAAAAGGAGGTCCCGTTAGACGACCCATCGCTGATCATGTGAGGTGACCCTCCTGCGGTGAGGAGGCATGAGTGGTTGCAACGCGCAAGCGCTTACATGTATTATCCCGAAAGTATGTGTATGTAGGGGTTAGGTTAGGTAGTGTAGTTATCGCCTTACTAGTTTAGTTAGCAGTGTGTGGAGGATTACTTTAATGGGTCGGTGGGCGGATGGTGTGTGTTGGTTGTCAACCATCGCATCCGCCTGTGAAGAAATAACGAATTACCGATTTCGTCCCCTTTTCTCCACCGTCGAACATCAGCACGTTTAGAGGTTTAAAAATAGCCCGAAAGATTGACGCGACGTGCCGTGACAAAAAATGATAGATCACAAGAAGCGGTCAGGGATCATCTTAAAACCCCAGCCTACTAAGGATCGTCCCGTCCCTCCCATCGCATCGTGATCGTCAGTCAGTGCCAGCAGAAGTGGCCCGAGCTCCAACAAGCTCCAAGCTTGACTTCAAGCTCGAGCCACCTACGAAGTACATAGATACATGTACATACCTACCTCGGCTTACCGGTTTTACTTCATGAAGTAAGCAACAATCCCCGGGGCATTTCCGCAGCAGCGTGTTCTAAACTCCGAAGCTAATGACATGACTTCCATAGTGCTACTGCGGACCTTAGTAATGATCTCTTTCTTTTTTTAGCTTCATTTTGTCTTTTCTTCCTCTCCTCCGAGCCTTTCAATTGATTGAATGCTTCTAGTTCGTATTCAGTTCCGGCTTACGTCGTGATCATGGTCGCTTACCTTACCAGCTAAGCAGTGTTTTTGGGAAGCCTATCTTTCCTCGCGTCACCACCACCACTACCACCACTACCTACCACCACCAAATCCACCCTCCTCCCTCGCAACCAATGCCGCTCCGCCACATCGCGCTCCCCTCGTGGCCCCTCCAATCCCCTCCCAGATTCCCCTCCTACGCCCTCGCGACCCGCGTCCAATCGAAGCTGCAGCAGGACCTACTAGCCTGGAAAGCAGCGAGCGCATCCGCAACCGCATCATCCACCTCTCCCCGGCCCGCCGCTCCGCTCCCCACGCTCCTGTCCTTCACCCCGAGTCCCACCTACACGCTAGGCCGGCGGCAGACCGCGCCCCTGACGGCCGCCGAGGTCGCGCGTCTGCAGGCACCGCTGCAGCTCGCGTATCCCGGGTGTCCCGCCGCTACCACTCCCACTACCACTTCCACCACTATCAACGGTAGTAGTAGTAGTAGTAGCGGCAGCGGCTTCGCGCTCACACCTTGCATCGCGCGGGCGCCGCGCGGCGGCCTGGCGACGTACCACGGGCCGGGGCAGGTGGTGCTGTGGCCGGTGGTGGACCTGCGGTCGCCGTACCACGCGCACTTCAGCGTGCGCGACTACGCCTGTCTGCTGGAGCGGACGACGATCGCGGCGCTGGCGCGCTTCGGCATCGCCGGCTTCACGACCGCGAACCCGGGCGTCTGGGTGCGCTCCCCTTCTTCCCCGTCCTCCTCCGCCGGGGAGCGCAAGATCGCCGCCCTCGGCGTCCACCTGCGCCGCCACGTCACCGGCCTCGGCGTCGCCGTCAACTGGGGCATGCCGGTTGCCGGCCCCGACGACGTCAATCCCTGGGGCCGCATCGATGCCTGCGGCCTGGGCGATAAGGGCG